TTACAGGCCCATATCAAACCTCCCATTTCTAGGTAAAATCATTGAAAAAGTTGTTTTTCAACAGTTGAGTAATTTCTTGCATTAAATAACTGTTTTGATGTGTTCCAGTCAGGCTTTCGTCCAAACCACAGCACTGAGACTGCTCTTGTAAAGGTCTTCAATGACATCCACTTAAACACAGACAGTGGCAGAACTTCAGTGTTAGTATTATTAGATCTCAGTGCTGCGTTTGACACTGTTGACCACAGCATATTACTAGACCGACTGGAAAACTGGGTGGGACTTTCGGAAACAGTTCTGAATTGGTTTGAATCCTACTTAAAGGACAGAAACAACTTTGTTTCTATTGGTAAATAAACATCTGAGTTGACAAATATGACATGTGGGGTTCCTCAAGGCTCCATCTTGGGGCCTCTTCTCTTTAACATCTACATGCTACCACTGGCTCAGATAATGAAGAACAACAAAATAAGTTACCATAGCTATGCAGATGACACACAAATGTACGTAACAATTTCACCAGGAGACTATGCTCCAATTCAAACACTGAGTAAGTGCATTGAACAAATCAATGACTGGATGTGTCAGAACTTTCTCCAATTAAACAAAGATAAAACTGAGGTAATGGTTTTTGGAGCCAAGTCAGAACGTTTAAAAGTTAGTGCTGAGCTTCAGTCTGCAATGTTCAAAACAATAGATAAAGCCAGCAATCTAGGTGTAGTCATGGACTCTGACCTGAGTTTCAACAGTCACATTAAAACAGTTACTAAATCAGCCTACTATCACCTAAAGAATATATCTAGGATTAAAAGTCTAATGTCACAGCAGGATTTGGAAAAACTTGTCCATGCTTTTATCTTCAGTAGACTCGACTACTGCAATGGTGTCTTCGCAGGTCTCACTAAAAAATCTATTAGAAAGCTGCAGCTAATTCAGAACGCCGCTGCTCGAGTCCTCACTGACACTAAGAAAGTGGATCACATCACTCCTGTTCTGAAGTCCTTACACTGGCTTCCTGTGTGTCAAAGAATAGATTTCAAAATACTGCTGCTGGTTTATAAAGCACTGAATGGTTTAGGCCCAAAATACATTTCTGACCTCCTGCTAAATTATGAACCATCCAGATCTCTCAGGTCTTCAGGGACTGGTCAGCTTTCTGTCCCCAGAGTCAGAACTAAACATGGAGAAGCAGCGTTCAGTTATTATGCTCCAAATATCTGGAACAAACTCCCAGAAACCTGCAGGTCCACTGCAACTCTGACTACTTTTAAATCCAGGCTGAAGACTTTTCTTTTTGCCGCTGCTTTTAATTGAACTATTCATATCTTAGAATGCACTGTAACTTTTATCCATGTATTTTTTCTTTTAATGTTTATTTTATTAGCTTTTCTTTTTAATGACTGATTTTAAATGCCATTTTCTTAATGTCTTTCATTTTTTGTAAAGCACTTTGAATTGCCTTGTGTTTAAAAGTGCTTTATAAATAAACTTGCCTTGCCTTGCCTTGCCTTGCCTTACAAGTAGTTTATTCTATACCTGAGTCTTTTTTCTGGTATGTGCTTAATTTCCACTGGTATGAGTTGTGGCCTTTTGACTCAGGAATATTGATTGGTTATTCCATTTAGACCTCTCATATCGGCAGTCTTTCTACAGGTTAAGATGTTTAAATGTGAGAGGGCTCAATAAAGGCATTCCTGTCTAGTTGGTGATGGATTTAATCGAAGTCTCTTTTAGTTCCCGGACTGGCTGAGTTATTCTTATTCCTCGTTATCAATATGTATTGATTGTGAAAACTACACTGAGATGTCTGGAAGATCATTTGACTTCAAAAAGAGTTTTGTTTTTGCTGGTGATGATTGTCAGGTTGGTTTTCAAGCCCCTCCCCCTGCTCCTGATTGGCTGTAATTATCTATTTCTATTGATTCTGAAGGCACATTGGTATGAATGATGCCTTATTGGACTCGGGACATAAAGTGCTATTGATTGGTCATGTCATTGAAGACCTCCCTTTTCCATCACTGTCTGTTTTTCATTTCCTATAAATACTAAACCCACAGCGTGGAATGATAAATATAAACAACACAGTGTTCAATCATTCGTGTATCATCTCATTAAAATGTAAATGATCAAAAGCTAGCTATGACCAAAGCAATATTTAAGAACGTGAACAAAAGTTTAATAGTTAAATGTATTATTTATGTACTTATATAGGTTTGCAGGTATTCAGAAAGAAGAGTGACACAGTTATAAACCACTTGAGAACAATATATATATATATATATATATATATATATATATATATATATATATATATATATACTGTATATAATTGAACTCCCTAGCTAGTGCCACTGCAGCTGGATAGTAGCTGGAGAGGTACAGCAAGAATACTAATATAATATAAAATCCAATAAATGTAGTGATTGGTAATGCAAAAAGCATTATTTACTGGACCATGAAATGCATTAAATGATTAAAGAAGACGAAAATACCAGTTTAGACTTAATTGAAAGAATAATTACAAAAATACATTAAAAAGTAATAACTTGTTACTTTAACTAATGACTTTAACACATCGCTGAGTTCATTACCGACAGCAGCCAAAACCTCAACGGGGAAGCCTTACAAATGAGTTGTAGGTCAGATAGAAATTGAGTAAACTGTCTGTAAATGTTTGTGTGAGAGTGAGCTACAAATATGAGGAAGGGTCTGTGGAGGTGATGACAGGCGGCTGTCGGCTGATTGGACGATCATACAGTGGAATGCTCTGAATGACGGCAGAGGCCCCTCAGAAGTCAAATCACCCACTCAAGTCCTTAGCCCCCACAACCCCCAGAGGAGCTCAGGATGTACTTCACACACAATTACGCTCCAAAACAAGGTGGAAACCAAGCATGCAGGATTGCCCACTCGCTCACCCAGAGCTGATAGAGAATGGCAGCAAAGTTGTTGTTTCTTTTTCAAAATGTTTATGATTTTTTCCTTTTTAGATCATAACTGGTTCAAGTCTTTCTTCAACAGATTAGATTCAACCTTATTGTCAATTGACAGAGTGCAAGTATTAGGACAACACAATGCAGTTAGCATCCAAGCAAAAGTGCAAAACAAGTATTAAAGAGCAGAGTTATTCATAGTATAATATAAATATATACTGTACATATAACAGTATTTACACTATGAAAAGTATGAGGCGGTATGAAAATTACAAACAGAAATGTAATACACTATAGATCAGGTATATATAAGAGAGTATAATACACACACAATACAGAATAAATATACTATAGAACATTTGTTGTTTACATTTTTCCTATTCCCATATTAAGGGATGGCAAGATTTCCTATTTATATACATATACAAATAAAAGTAGCACTTGTGAGTGTTTTTCTTTAGCCAGTTGTGGAGTTGCTGGTGGGTAGTCGGGCTAAGATCTTTGAAGTCCTGCTAATGTGCTGTAATGAGCCAGAGATGAGAGGGGGGTAATTACAGACACAGAAGAATCCTGCAGAGCTTCATGTGGGCTCAAAGAGCCTGAACCCCGCTGAACACACTCTGAGAGTTCCTGAATATATCCACAAAGATAAATACTAGCTCATCTTATTCTAATTTACATGTTTATAGTTTACTTTTTACATATTAACTTGCACATTGGTCACTTGCAACATTCTCTTGCGCTATTTTATTTATATTCCGTTTCTTTTTGCACAATTGTTATTGTTGTGTATGCTATATATATTCATGTTGCATTGTTGGAGGAGCCTGGGACTTACGTTTTCATTGCCATAACTACATGTAGCTACTGTGCATATGCAGGCTTGGGCAGTAACAGATGACATGAAACATGATTATGTAATCAGGATACCAAAACAAGGATTCAATTATGTTCCTTCTATATCAGAGTAGCACATGATAACAGAGGCCCTACGTAGCTGTATATGTAGCCGGATGTCTGACTACATGGATGACGCTCATGAGACAGCACTGTGTTGAAGTTATGATAGCTATGTTCCTAAGATTGGCATGGTGACACAGCCCCTAGAGAGATAGGCATATGACTGTCATGCTTATTGCTTACGCAGGCCTTAGGTAATCTTAACTAAGGTCAGAATACTGCTTTGAACCAGTATTCTTCCATCTTGTTGACTGTAACTCCCTCTCTTGTATATAAGCATATCAAGGACTCTACTCTGAAAACTATTTGTCCCATGCAACCTCTGTGTGTGATGACTACTTCCATTCTTGCAAGGATAATAAATACATGTATCCTGATATTGAAGACCAAGCCGGTGACGATTGATATGTTTCTAACAATTACATTAAAACATGTTTTATCAGATAACTGTTACATTATAAAAAAAATAGATTGCTAGCAGGATTTCAGTGTTACAATACATTTTGAAATACAGATCAATATACTAAAGGTAGACTTTGTGAATTATTTTTCTTTAATAATGTTTACTTTAATTATGTTTTATTTTAAAAGACATTTATTTTGTAAGGTGGACACTTGTTTGTTAAACAATCATACAGTCTCTGCTTTTGATTAATATATCTAGCTTAAACAGCCTTTGTGAACTATTACTGTTACTACATTTTATATATGAAATACCTTGTTTTCTTCTTTTCTAAGCTAACATTGTTACATACACTTAAGTAAAAAACATCTTATAGTAATTGTGTTTCTCTTGTTTTTATTTGCATTGCATTTGATATTTAGGTTCTCCAAAAGTAACAAAAAGTGCATTCATTTTATATTTTGATAATCAGATTTAGTTATTGATTGCATTTTGACATGTAACTAGTTATTTTAACGGATTACCTTTTAAAGTAACAACCCTGTGCATATGACCATAAAACCTTTGAATCTACTAATTCAGCTCCCACCACCTGCAGACAGGTAAAGGTCTCTGTGTTCCCTACATGGATGGCAGAGAATGAGCTGAGCCTTCAATATTAAAGCTGACTCCACTCTAACATCCAACCTCTGTCCTCCATCTAGAGAAATTCCTGGGTCATCAGATCCACAGCTACGCCCAGCTCATCTCTATCACCTTCACCTCCGAGACCCCCGAGCTGCTGCCGGACCACGTCACCTTGCTGCTGCGCGGCTCCGGAGTCACCCTCACTGCTGACCTTTCACCCCAAACAGTGCTTGACCCTAACCCCCGCCTCACATGGCAGCAGACCTTCACTGTCAGGTACAAGGGTGCAGGATTGTTTGTCAGTCTATGTATATCAAGGGGTCAATTTGTTTTCACTGAGAGCCACATACAAAAATATATACGAAGGGCTTGGCCACTCACTAGAGGTTAGGTATGTTTTCTCATATGTTAGGTTAAGTTATAATTTAGCAAAATCAATCAAATGTAGATAAATTATTCTTGATCATTGAATATGCTTAAAGAAAAAAAACAGCCTACATCACAGCTTTCCATTAACAGGGTTTAATTATTTTCATTTTGTTACAAAATGGTTTGGAAACTCATCCCTTAAAACAATAGCGTCAGATTGCTTCTCAACTCCCTGCACAGTCATGTATAAAGGAAATAGGAAGGGTAGGTTTCAAGCTTGTTATGCAAATAAGTTATTGGGCTTTTTTTTGTTTTATCAACTAAGATTTGTTAGAAAATGTTATCAACTTAAATTGAAATAGAAAATGTGTCTTAACACATGACTACAGTCTAATATATTTAACATATATTTAATAAGAACAATATAAGTAAAGCGCAAGTTTCAGGTGCGGGCCATATTCCATTTTACTTTTAGAATTAGCTGAGGGCCAATTCAAAATGGACCCAGGGCCACAGTTGGCTCCCAGCCGGTAGTTTGGACACCCCTGATGTATGCTTCCTTTTCACACTGTTGAGCTTGAGTCTCTCTGGCAAGAATTAGCCTGAATATGTGCATAAGAAAGGATGTTTGTTTTTCTCTGCATCTATTCATCTCCCTGATGCCTGACTTGTTCCTTGTTACACTAAATGTAGAGTCTGCTGAGGACAGAGTATCCAGGACAGCCATGTTCAGACTGCAGCTCACCTACATCGAGTGTGCTGTCAGGGTCCCAGCAGAACGTTGAGTTATAAATGTAGTGACGAGCCCACTCCCCCTTTCACCGGCTATCATGTAGAGCAGCGGCATTACACTTCCATTTGTATATTTTATACATTCAGCAGATGGTCTCATCCACAGCAACTTGAAGTGTGTGCTTCAGAAGTACACACAAAGTGATAGTCCGGAGCACCAACAGTCTCACTTAAATGATTGAGTCACTCAAATAATTATGGAATAGAGGTGAAGTATACAGTGTACATGGACAAAGTGATGGTTAGGGCAGCAATTTACTAGTATTATTATTATTATTATGTTTTGATTATGTTATCATTTGTTGTTAAAATATTTCACGAAAAACTGAAACATTTCAAGCCCTGTTTCTCTCCAAGCAGATGTGTTTTGTGTTTTGTTTTATCAGTTCATATTTTAATATGATATGATAGGGCTGCTCAATTAATCATATTTTAATCGCAATTACGATTTTGGCTTGCAACGATTAATGAAAATAACACAATCGAAATAAAACGATTATTATTATTTTTATTTTTTAATAAATAAAAAAAAATGTGTTATTGGTCTTTCAGTTGAATTATACTTGCAGTTCAGGGTAATCAACTGTTAAAAACATACTGTTCACATTTTCTTTTTCATTTCTTTTTCAATAAATGGATGTTTTCAAAGTCAATGGATAATCGTTTTTAATAATCGTGATATCAATTATTGACCCAAATAATCGAGATTAGGATTTTTGCCATAATCGAGCAGCCCTATGATATGATATAATATAAAGAAGAGCAGTACATGTCTATTTCAGAGGCTGCAATCAGTATTCTCTGCAATGTGTACAGGAAAAACTGCTTAAACCATTCATCTCTTTTGGAAAAACTGAGGATTATATTTCCGTTGATAGACGTATCGATTCATTTACATATGGATAAGTGAACGCTTTGAAGCTGCTGGTGCTAGTAATAATGTAGGATCACCAAATCCTCCAGGGCTTATCCCTGCTGACCATGAATGTTTGGACCAAACGTCATGGCTTTCTTCGATATTTTAGATCCGATATTTATTCCCAGCCATAGTGCTAACACGGCTGAAAACAGGTAAATACTGTATGATAAAGAAGGGATTAGTTCAGAAAGCTTAACCAATATAGTAAGTGAAAACACTTTTATATGAGGTACATCTTTAAAAGATTAAGCTTTCAAAGATATTGTCACTCCAGGAGGCAGAGGAGGGGGGTCGGGATAGAAGGAAGAGAGGGTTGCTACATGGAAAGAGAGCTGAGTGGATTACAGCAACACCATGCAGAGCTCTAGATGGAGTGCAGGGTGGGTTCGTGGCCCGGAGGCTCAGGATGTGGGCAGCGGTTCTTTTGCAGCCTGCTATGCCAACACCAGGGCTTCAAATTAGAAACAAGCATCAACACACAGTGAATGAAATGTAACATCGATCTCAATGAGGAGAAGTGAGCTATGGAAGAAGTGTGTGGTCATGTAAACTTTAGGGATGTAAACTAAACGGAGAAATAAGATGTATTAGACTGATTTAAGGTGGGGTTTAATCGTGTGGCAGTTTAACTTACATATGAGGAGGATAAAAAAGTAAAGGTATCATACACTTGAAATATACACACTTAATATGGCCAAACATGTGAAAAATGTTATGGAGAAAGCAAATATGTATAGTAAATATGCAATATAAGCCTCTCTAGATAGAGATGAATGTAACCTTTACAAATGAATATTGTTATGGTATCATCGGTACTCTTTGTCTTTCTTTTCCTGTTCTGCTACTGTTTTATTACTTTAAGGCCTGAACTATATATTTCTATTGCAATTTAAAGCTTTTCCACTCTATACATGCATAAATGTGCAGTTACGTAACAGTTCATCGTCTCATTATTAGGAAAAGTGGTGGTCTGTTGTCAGGATCCATTCCTAAAGAGAAATAAAGTGAGTGGATGTATAACACGGGTAGAAGCAGCCCACGTGCTAGAATTTGAATGATGGATTTTCTTACGTTATTTTCTTCTTAAAGTTAAAGGGGACCTATCGTGCAAAATGCACTTTGTGATGTCTTGTATACATAAATATGTGTCCCCGGTGCGTCGGGGAACTCACGCAGCGTCAGAAAATAAAACCCTCTCTCTTTTCCTCCGTACCCAAATCTTTTAAAAACAGGGGTACAACGAGAGGATACCTATTTGCTGCCGGTATGACGTCAAATCATCAGCGGACCCACAGAAAGGTTGCTATCAGAAACAAGGCCTGACGTGTTTTGGACGTAATCTCGTCTTTGTTTACATTAGCAAGCCTCGCTAACACTCAGAGCTAACCTGTACTGTAGAGCACATGTGTTTAAAAAGCAGGAAATAAAAAAAGGAACTCACCTTGTGGTAAACCTGCAAGAGAAAAAGCATTTGAGCTCCATACTGTTTCAGAAATAACCCTTGATGTGGTTTAGAACAGGATGGCGTTTTATCACGGCAGAATTTAACTTTATCTCCAATAGAATTCTGATCAGGCATTAGCTCCGCCTCCTCTTTTTTTTCAAGCTAAGGACCCAAAATCCGCGTTTCTCTAACAGGGCTGCAAAAGAGGGGTATGAGCAGTATGAGGCATGGCTACAATGGGTGATCTGTTTGGTATTTTAAGCACAGACATGTTTTGGCCCTACAATATCGTTTTCCAATATAGCATGATACATGTAGGTCCACTTTAAGTTTAAATGAAATTAATTGTCCATATTTTTCCACCATCAATGGATGAGTTAAAGATCTCTGTCCTACCTCAACACTTTGCTTTTAACAGTCACAGTTTTAAATATAATCAGTCTCACTTCCTCTGGTATAATGCATACTGCCTCCCACACCTATACTTGTAAGCCTATTTTCTCTAAAAAGCAATTAGATCCTATTCAAACAACTGCAGCGGCATATAGAGCAAAATATACATTTAAATCCAACCTAACAGAGCATTTCCATATGAATGCTTGATTAGTTCACTCGTACATTGTGACAAGGTTTACCAAATATTGCTATTTAATATAATAAGAGGGCAACAGCACCTCTTTAAATCCTGCAGCAATCAGACGTTAGATGTTGTAACAAAGATGGCAGCAATCAGAATCAAGCTGTGACTGCGACACAGTTCCTGTCACAGAGCGGATGCTGTTTGCTTTACTCGTGGATAGCAGTCTGCTGTTCTTGTTTTCTTAGATCATATTAAGCAGTGTGTGTCAGTTTGTTTGTGTTGTTAGACATTTGATTAGCATCTGTATTTTGAAACTAAGACTAAATCAAATTTGAGTTGTCTTGTGCCAGCCCGTATTTCCTCTTTACTGCAGCATGACCCTGGGATTATGTCCCTTTCTGAAGAAGCTGAGGCAGGCTTTCCTTTATTTACTTCAGTGCAAGCTAACCCAATATACACTTACAGTATGTTAAAAGTTAGGTTTCCAACAATTACAGCCACCAAAAAGTATTTCAATATACATATTGGCATGTGAGTGCTATTATAAAAGATAAAGAATCAATAATTATGTAGACTTATCGATTATTCAATCACCAGAAAGATATGAATTATCTAAAGTACTTCCTTCAGGCGAAAAACTCAAACCTAAGAGAGATATTTGGTTTTCATTAGTTTAAAATTATATTAAAATAATATCTCTTGTTCTCAAACTGACAAATAGTACGCTTGAAGGCATCCCCTTGCAATTTAATTAAACTTGGATTAACATTTTTCACAATTTTCCGTCATTTAATCAATCAATTTAATTTATCGATTGATCTAGAAATAAATCATTAAGGAAATTGTCACCTTACTCGAAAACATGTAAACCTTTCCTGGCTATTATCTTTGGCTCCGTTCTATTAAATATTCACAGCATCTGCCTCACCAATTGCCCAAAGAGGCAGATTGTGCTAGAACATGTAGTTCCCTCCTAAAGGGGAACGACAGGGGTGCCGCCAGGGATTTTGGGCCCCATGAAAATATATCACATTGAGCCCCACCACCAGGCCCAGGCCACGCGAACCAAGCACAATGCTGTAACCACACCTCCAGAACCCAACCGACTCATTTATGCTTTAAATAACTCTACCTGAACAAGCTTGCATCTATCTTGTAGTCCAATACTAACT